TATATTTCGAATTATTACGGATGATACGCAACACGCAAGCGCGGTGACCGCAATTACGGTACGGAACACTCGCCCGATGCGAAATCGCGCGCGCGGCAACCGAGACGGCTCGTTACGGGCGTGATTATACGTGCGGCAACCATAACGGCCGGCGTCAACTTAGGGGACGGACGGCACCACCGGGACGGGCCACCTCGGGAACCACGCGACCGGCGACACCTCCGGCCGGGCGACACTCCGGGAAAACACGACCGGCGTCACCTCCGGGCCGGGCGACACCTCCGGAAACCGACCGGCGACACCTCCGGGACGGGCGAACCTCCGGACGACCGAATGAACTCTCGAAGTCGCGAGACGGCGGTACCTCCGGAACACTTAACGACGATTTACGGCGCCGCAACGAGGAGAGTACGTAAAAACGTTTCGGACGAAAGTTACTTACTATTCGGCGCTCGCTCGACATAAGGGCGCTGTCCGATTACGACTCGAAACGTGTCTCTCAAACCCACGTGTCGGAGACATATATTTCGAATTATTACGGATGATACGCAACACGCAAGCTGCGGTGACCGCGATTACGGTACGGAACACTCGCCCGATGCGAAATCGCGCGCGCGGCAACCGAGACGGCTCGTTACGGGCGTGATTATACGTGCGGCACGACAAACGGCCGGCGTCAACTTCCGGACGGCTCGGCTCGCGACGGCCGGCGCGACGGCTCATAACCCACCGGCCGGCCAGGCGGTCCGGCGACACACGGCCGACCACGGCCGACCGGCGCGACCTCCGGGACGGGCGGCGATCGGACACCTCCGGAGAGCGAACGCCGGACGTACCGAATGAACATCGAAGTCAGACGACCGCCGGCGGTACCTCAAACAACGATAATTACGCGTTAATTACGAAGGAAACAAACGACATCGGGACAAAAGGTACTAACACGACGGTCTCTCGGGCCGGGCGGCACCTCCGGGCCGAATTACCTACGGTCGATACGGCACCTCCGGGCCGGGCGATACCTCCGGAAACTCGGCCGATGCGGCACCTCGCGCCGCGCGGCACCGCCGGCCGGACGGCGGGCGTGCGGCACCACATAACGGCCGGCGTCAACTTAGGACGGACGGCACCTCCGGGACGGGCGACACCTCCGGGAACCACGGCCGACCGGCGACACCTCCGGGCCGGGCGACACCTCCGGGAACCACGGCCGACCGGCGTCACCTCCGGGCCGGGCGACACCTCCGGCAACCACGGCCGACCGGCGACACCTCCGGGACGGGCGGCACCTCCGGACGACCGAAAGAACTCTCGAAGTCAGACGACCGCCGGCGGTACCTCCGGAACACTTAACGACGATTTACGGCGCCGCAACGAGGAGAGCTACGTAAAAACGTTTCGGACGAAAGTTACTTACTATTCGGCGCTCGCTCGACATAAGGGCGCTGTCCGATTACTAACTCGAAACGTGTCTCTCAAACCCACGTGTCGGAGACATATATTTCGAATTATTACGGATGATACGCAACACGCAAGCTGCGGTGACCGCGATTACGGTACGGAACACTCGCCCGATGCGAAATCGCGCGCGCGGCAACCGAGACGGCTCGTTACGGGCGTGATTATACGTGCGGCACCACATAACGGCCGGCGTCAACTTAGGGGACGGACGGCACCTCCGGGACGGGCGACACCTCCGGGAACCACGGCCGACCGGCGACACCTCCGGGCCGGGCGACACCTCCGGGAACCACGGCCGACCGGCGTCACCTCCGGGCCGGGCGACACCTCCGGCAACGGGACGGCGACACTCCGGGACGGGCGACACCTCCGGACGACCGAACAAGTCATACGACCTACGGCGGGACGAACACTCGGCGGCGCGGGGCGGTCCGATTACTAACTCGGTGCTCGCTCGTGTCGGAGACCTCGGTGTCGCTCTGCGGACCGCGGTACGGATTACGCCCGATGCGAAATCGCGCGCGCGGCAACCGAGACGGCTCGTTACGGGCGTGATTATACGTGCGGCACCACATAACGGCCGGCGTCAACTTAGGGGACGGACGGCACCTCCGGGACGGGCGACACCTCCGGGAACCACGGCCGACCGGCGACACCTCCGGGCCGGGCGACACCTCCGGGAACACGGCCGACCGGCGTCACCTCCGGGCCGGGCGACACCTCCGGCAACCACGGTCGACCGGCGACACCTCCGGGACGGGCGGCACCTCCGGACGACCGAATGAACTCTCGAAGTCAGACGACCGCCGGCGGTACCTCCGGAACACTTAACGACGATTTACGGCGCCGCAACGAGGAGAGCTACGTAAAAACGTTTCGGACGAAAGTTACTTACTATTCGGCGCTCGCTCGACATAAGGGCGCTGTCCGATTACTAACTCGAAACGTGTCTCTCAAACCCACGTGTCGGAGACATATATTTCGAATTATTACGGATGATACGCAACACGCAAGCTGCGGTGACCGCGATTACGGTACGGAACACTCGCCCGATGCGAAATCGCGCGCGCGGCAACCGAGACGGCTCGTTACGGGCGTGATTATACGTGCGGCACCACATAACGGCCGGCGTCAACTTAGGTGACGGACGGCACCTCCGGGACGGGCGACACCTCCGGGAGCCACGGCCGACCGGCGACACCTCCGGGCCGGGCGACACCTCCGGGAACCACGGCCGACCGGCGTCACCTCCGGGCCGGGCGACACCTCCGGCAACCACGGCCGACCGGCGACACCTCCGGGACGGGCGGCACCTCCGGACGACCGAATGAACTCTCGAAGTCAGACGAACGCCGGCGGTACCTCCGGAACACTTAACGACGATTTACGGCGCCGCAACGAGGAGAGCTACGTAAAAACGTTTCGGACGAAAGTTACTTACTATTCGGCGCTCGCTCGACATAAGAGCGCTGTCCGATTACTAACTCGAAACGTGTCTCTCAAACCCACGTGTCGGAGACATATATTTCGAATTATTACGGATGATACGCAACACGCAAGCTGCGGTGACCGCGATTACGGTACGGAACACTCGCCCGATGCGAAATCGCGCGCGCGGCAACCGAGACGGCTCGTTACGGGCGTGATTATACGTGCGGCACCACATAACGGCCGGCGTCAACTTAGGGCACGGACGGCACCTCCGGGACGGGCGACACCTCCGGACGACCGAATAATTTCACCAAGTCCGTCGCCCGCCGGCGGTACCTCCGGGGCACTTGACGGCGAGTAGCGCCGCTACGAGGAGATAATGCTACGATACGGAAATACGTTTCGGACATAGGTTTCGTACTTTTCGACGCTCCGCACGACCGCGCGACACGATTATTACGATATCTGCTAATTCCCGGCTACCGCTCGTCGGATGCACAATCTTCGAGATTCTACGACCGATACGTGGACGAATGCAGGCAGGATGCCGGTAAGCGAAGCCGGAGTGTTTGCACGAATAAACTTTCCGATGCGTCCTCATTTAATTAATCTCATTTAGCTCGCTCGTTAGCGGTACAAGCGAGAACTCGGGAACAGGCGCAAGTTCGCTCGCGGCGCGTTGCTCTCGCCGGCGAGCGAGAAATTTTTCCAGGCCCGATAGCGGCGTGTTGCCTTGATTAGCGGGCGATACCTCCGGCGGCACGCGCCGCCCGTAACCCAAGTACGATCGCGGCGTGTTGCTTCGTTGGCGGGCGACACCTCCGGCGGCACGCGCCGCTCGTAACCCAAGTCCGATCGCGGCGTGTTGCATTCGTTGGCGGGCGACACCTCCGGCGGCACGCGCCGCCCGTAACCCAAGTCCGATCGCGGCGTGTTGCTTTTGTTGGCGGGCGACACCTCCGGCCGCACAAGCCGCTTTTTCCAAGTTCACTCGCGGCGTGTTGCTTTCGCCGGGCGAGCGACAAATTCTTCCAAGTTCGCTCGCGGCGTGTTGCTTTCGCCGGGCGAGCGAGAAATTCTTCCAAGTCCGTTCGCGGCGTGTTGCTTTCGCCGGGCGAGCGAGAAATTCTTCCAAGTCCGTTCGCGGCGTGTTGCTATCGCCGGGCGAGCGAGAAATTCATCCAAGTCCGTTCGCGGCGTGTTGCATTCGCCGGCGAGCGAGAAATTCTTCCAAGTCCGTTCGCGGCGTGTTGCTTTCGCCGGGCGAGCGAGAAATTCTTCCAAGTCCGATCGCGGCGAGTTGCTTTCGTTGGCGGGCGACACCTCCGGCGGCACGCGCCGCCCGT